GGCCAGCGTGCAGGGTCTGAGGATGCACGTGGCCTGGTCTGGCCGCCATGGGGTGGCGGAATATGGAGGGAAGAGAGGGGATGAGGGGGACGCGTATGGGTGTGCAGGACTACCGGCCTTGCCGCCGGGTGCGTCCTTGAGGCAACTGCCTCGCGACAAGGGCCAGCGTGCAAGGTCTGGCCGCCAGGGGGTGGCGGAATATGGAGGGAGGAAAGGGGATGAGGGGGACGCTGCATGGGTGTGCAGGACTACCGGCCTTGCCGCCGGGTGCGTCCTTGAGGCAACTGCCTCGCAACAAGGGCCAGCGTGCAGGGTCTGAGGATGCACGTGGCCCAGTCTGGCCGCCATGGGGTGGCGGAGTATGGAGGGAAGAGAAAGGGGATGAGGGGGACGCGTATGGGTGTGCAGGACTACCGGCCTTGCCGCCGGGTGCGTCCTTGAGGCAACTGCCTCGCAACAAGGGCCAGCGTGCAGGGTCTGAGGATGCACGTGGCCCAGTCTGGCCGCCATGGGGTGGCGGAGTATGGAGGGAAGAGAGGGGATGAGGGGGACGCGTATGGGTGTGCAGGACTACCGGCCTTGCCGCCGGGTGCGTCCTTGAGGCAACTGCCTCGCGACAAGGGCCAGCGTGCAGGGTCTGAGGATGCACGTGGCCCGGTCTGGCCGCCAGGGGGTGCCGGAATATGGAAGGAAGAGAGTGGATGAGGGGCACACGTAAGGGTGTGCAGGACTACCGGCCTTGCCGCCGGTTGCGTCCTTGAGGCAACTGCCTCGCGACAAGGGCCAGCGTGCTGGATCTGAGGATGCACGTGGCCCGGTCTGGCCGCCAGGGGGTGCCGGAATATGGAGGGAGGAGAGGGGATGATGGGGACACGCATGGGTGTGCAGGACTACCGGCCTTGCCGCCGGTTGCGTCCTTGAGGCAACTGCCTCGCAACAAGGGCCAGCGTGCAGGGTCTGAGGATGCACGTGGCCCGGTCTGGCCGCCAGGAGGGGGTGGCGGAATATGAAGGGAGGAGAGGGGATGAGGGGGACGCGCATGGGTGTGCAGGACTACCGGCCTTGCAGCCAGTTGCGTCCTTGAGGCAACTGCCTCGCAACAAGGGCCAGCGCGCAGGGTCTGAGGATGCACGTGGCCCAGTCTGGCCGCCATGGGGTGGCGGAGTATGGAGGGAAGAGAGGGGATGAAGGGCACAGGTAAGGGTGCGCAGGACTACCAGCCTTGCCGCCGGTTGCGTCCTTGAGGCAACTGCCTCGCGACAAGGGCCAGCGCGCAGGGTCTGAGGATGCACGTGGCCCGGTCTGGCCGCCGGGGGGTGGCGGAATATGGAGGGAGGAGAGGGGATGAGGGGGACGCGTATGGGTGTGCAGGACTACAGGCCTTGCCGCCGGCTGCGTCCTTGAGGCAACTGCCTCGCGACTGAAGTAAAGTGCCGAATCTAAAGATTCACACAAACCGGCGGGGTCCCACTAGACATGTGTGAATGACGACGCTCCGACTTGTTCGAATGAAAATTGACAAAACAAGCGCCGGCATTTTCTGCGGGCAGTGTCATGGAGGCGCATGCCTCCTAAGGAAGGTGTGTAGGATCGCCAGTATTGCTGGCAGGCTCCTGGAGGATAATTCCTCTGGCTGCCTCGTTGAGACCATCTGGCGGAGCCGACCGGCAGCTGGTGTCGACCACGCTCAGGAAGGCCATGCTTAGACTGTAACTGGCGAAACGTGTTCCCCCAGGGTGACCACCCAGGCGGGGCCTGTGGCTCTCCGACCCGAACCTGCAAGGTGGGCAATAGAAGCACTGCTGGAGGAGGTCCGGTCTGGGTCGACGCATCCTCCTTGTGCTGGGAGGGCACTTGAGCGTGCCTCTTGCCACTGTCGCCCCGCTGTTCACACCCCTGGGGGCTCGGCTGGGGTGCTCGTCGGGCGTGGGGAATCCACGCCCTTAGTGGCGCCCCGTGCGTCCCCAGCCGACTCCCCCAGAGGAGTATAGAACAGCATTGGCACGGGGGGAGGAGGAGGAGGAGGAGGAGGAGGAGGAGGAGGAGGAGGAGGAGGAGGAGGAGGAGGAGGAGGAGGAGGAGGAGGATTGAGGGAGAAGGAGGAGGAACAGAGGATCTGGAGGTGGTCGAGGAAGAGGTAGCGGAGGCGGAGGAAGGTGAGCAATGGGGCATTGCCTAGGGCGCCGAGGAGAGTCTCGACTGGGCCTCGAAAGCAAGGGAGGAGGAGGAGGACGAGGAGGAGAGAGGAGGAAGAGGAGCAGAAAAAGGAGGATGATTAGGAGGAGGAGGAAGAGGAGGAGGAGGAGGAGGAGGAGGAGGAGGAGGAAGAGGAGGATTAACGAGAGGATGACGATTGGCGATTACGGAGCAGCGGATAACCTCCTTTGGGATGCGGATGAGAGATAGGGGGGGTAGAGAAATGATGAAGGATGGAGGACGACGAGGAGGTTGAGGAGGAAGAGGAAATCGATGACGACCATGAGGGATGGTGATGATGCAGCTGCTGCTGATGATGGTGCTGATGCTGATGCTGATGATGCTGTTGTTGATGATGATGCTGATGACGATGATGATGATGATGATGATGATGATGATGATGAGGATGATGAGGATGATGAGGATGATGAGGATGATGAGGATGATGAGGATGATGAGGATGAGGATGAGGATGAGATGAGGATGAGGATGAGGATGAGGATGATGATGATGATGATGATGATGATGCTGATGATGATGATGATGATGATGCTGATGATGATGGGGATGATGATGATGATGATGATGATGATGATGATGATGATGATGATGATGATGATGATGATGATGATGATGATGATGATGATGATGATGATGATGATGGTGATGATGGTGATGATGATGATGATGATGATGATGATGATGATGATGATGATGATGATGATGATGATGATGATGATGATGCTGATTACGATGACGACGACGACCAGGACGACGGTGGTGGTGATGACGACGACGACGATGACGATGCTACTGATGATACTGATGATGCTGATGCTGATAACGTTGATAAGCTGATGAGGGTGAGGATGATGATGTCGATGAGGATGGGGATGAGGATGATGATGATTTCGATAAGGATGAGGATGAGGATGATGATGATGTCGATAGTGCTGATGATTATCATGATGCTGCTGGTGTTGGTGGTGATTATGGTGGTGGTGCTGATGATGATCATGACGATGATGGTGGGGAGGACGATACCGATGATGGTGATGATGATGATGACGATGGTTATCATGATGATGGTAATCTGATGCTGATGATGCTGATGGCGATGCTGCTGCTGATGATGATGATGATGAGGATGATGCTGATGGTGATGATGATGCTGATGATGCTGATGGCGATGCTGCTGATGATGATGGTGGTGGAGAGGATACGATAACGAGATGGGAGGTAGGAGGGAAGTGAATGCATGGAGGGAGCAGGGATGAGTGGTTGAGGACATGTGGGAGAGTGGAAGGGGCGAGGGAAGCAGTATGTAAGGGAGGAGGTAGGAGGGATGACGGACAAGGGAAGAAGAGTAGGGTCGAGGGAAGGGGAGTGGGGAAGAGGGGAGAATGTGATGGGGATGCCGAGCCTGACGGGGTTGGGAAGGACGTGGTGGAGGGGAAGGACAGGGGGAGAAGGAAAGACAGCGCGCGCGTGGGGCCCGAAGTTGCCCCCTCTCTTCTTCGTCTTCCTCATCCCCCCTTCTGCTCATTCTCCTGCCTCTCCGCCTCTTCCCCGTCCTCCTCCTCTTCCTCACGCCTTCTCCCCTGAGGCCTCGTCCTAAGCCGCGTCTGAAGCATGAGTCCAGCACTGCTGAGATGAAACGATCAGAGGGAAAGTCACGCTGCTGATACGTACCACCCTCGACCACAGCTTTTCCGTCACTGCTGCCGCGCTGTCCATGAGGTTCCGCAAAACAGCCTCAGCCAGGGATCCTCGCGCCATTATGTTTCGCATCTTCGCTGGGTCGTCGTTGTAACATCCCTTTTCCCTCCCGTCCCTCCCTCTCCTCTTCCTTCGCCCCGTCCCTCCTCATCCCTTTCTCCTCCTACCCTCTCCACTTCGCCTCAGCTTCCGCCTCCTCTTCCTCCCTTCGTCCTCCCCGTCCTCCTCCTCCTCCTCCTTCTCGTCCTCCTCCTCCTCCTCCTCTTCCTCCTCCTCCTCCCTCCTCCTCGTCTTCCACCACCTTCCTCCTCCTCCTCATCTTCCCCCTCCTCGCTCACCTCCTCCTCCTCTTCCTCCTCCTCCTCCTCCTCTTCCCTCCCCCCTCCTCCCCCCCCCCGCGGTGGGGTGGCAGTTGCTGCTCTTCTTGGCATCGTATCCTGGTGCTCGGCCCTACGCCTCGGGGACATCGACAATGCCATGTGCGGTGCACGGCTTTGTGTCAGCATGCCGGCTCGTCTTTTTGGGTCCCGCCCCGCGGCGCTTTGCCCCGGGCCGTGGCGCTCAGCTACGCCCGCGACGCTGGGACCACCTTGAGCTCTCAGGCGCGGGGATCGTGCATTTGGTGGAGTGGCAGAGCCGTGTGGTCCAAAAGTCCCATGGCGCCTTCGTGCCTCTTCGCCCTGCGGTACCTGCCCAATTTGGCAGGGATTGAGAGTCGGGCAGGACCTCACAGTGAGGAGGTGAAACGACTGTCCCCCTACGCACCGCCGCCTTCGCGTATGAGTAGCGAGTCAGGGGGCGACAATGCGCTGACCTGTACCTCGGCCGTGTCCCGCGAGCTCCTCGCCCATGAGCGATCGGCCTCCCCTGCGCGTGAGGAGGGTGGTCTTCCCGTGTGGGGGCGGAGGGCGGCCCATTTTGCGATGAGGCAGCACGCTTTGTGAGGCAGTCCTCTCGCGCGGGTTTCGCTTCTCCGTTTTCCATGGCTCCATGGCCCCCTCCTCCCCCCACCTTTCCCCCCGCCTCCCCCCCCCGTCGCCCCCTCCCCCCCGCGCGCGCGCCCGCGCGCGCGGTTCGCGCCGCAGCACGGCCAAGTTCATGAGAAGCGCTGGCTCGATCCACCCCGTGATCTGGGCGGGGGCGGGCGGATGTCCGGCAGGAGGAGGAAGATCGTCGTTTTTCCTCGTCCTTCGTTCCTCGTCTGCCCACATCCTCCTCGTCGTCGCCTTTGTCCTCAAATATTCCTTGGTCGTTCTTTCTTGACTTTGTTCCTGTTGCAACACGAGCGTTGCTTCACTTTGGCCAGATTCGCGCCGGGCGCGCCCGCCCCTGTTCCCCGCGGCCAGACATGAAGACACGATCTTGGTATTTGGACGATTCGGCTGCGTGTAATCAGTGGCGTGCCCACAAAAACGGTTGCCCTCCTGCCGGACTGCAAGCGAGAAGTCGACGGCCAATGTGCTGCGAGCATTCCACTGTTCATCTCCTGGAAGGGGAGCGGCGGGCGCATCGGCCGAACCCCTTTTCGTTGACGCTCGCTCGCCGACGGCAAACCCGCCGCCAATCCACTAAACGATGCAACCCACAACCAGCGGCGACTGCATAATTGAGCCCAAGAGGCCCCGAAAAGGCAAGAACAAACTCCTAAGAAGACTCCCGGGGGCCCCAACAAAAAACCGTGCTCCTGGAGGCCGAAAGAAACGTCCGAGAGACCCCCGAAGAGGCGCCGCAAAAGGCGCCCAAAAAGCCACCGAATGACCCGCAAGAAACCCCGTAGACGCCCCCGGGGGATTTGTACAGGAGGCCCCACAAGGGCAATGAGGCTCCCCAAACTTCCCCGGGAACTCCGAAGTTTTGGACAAGGGCCTCGCGCGGGGATGGATCGCAGCTCTGGCGGGCCGACGCAATCGGCCAGTAGCGAGGCAACGCGATCGAGCCGAAGCGCGCCTGGAAACTGGCAATGGGCGGCGCCAGCGCCGATGCAGATTTTCCCGGCGGCCCTGCGCAGTCCCGATTGGATTGCAACTCGGACATCCGATTGCGGCTGTAATCCATGTGCGGCCCTGGCGCCATGCTGCGGCCCAGGCGCCGTCCAAGGTCCTGGGGTCTCTAGGTTCCAGGCCGTTAGACTCGAGGGCCCGGACAGCCAGGCAGGCCCCGAAACCCCAAGGCCGAAGATTCCGGAACCCCAGACTCTTGGGCCTTAAGATCCAGGTCCCATGCCCCAGGGCCCTGGAGTTCAGGGCGCCACATTTCAAGGTTCTGGAGTCAAGGGCCCTTCCGGGGGCGTCGACGCCGCCTTCGTCTTTTGGGCCCTACAGTCCAGGGTCCTGAACTCTGGGGCACTTGATTCCAGGGCCTTGGGCCCTAGGGCCTACGACTCACAGGCCATAGACTCCAGAACCCTGCGCGCTCGCGCATTCCCAGATTCCAAGGCGTTAGTCGAGGGTTTAAGCGTTGGGGCCCTAGAAGCCAAGCGCCTAGACCCCAGGGCCGTAGATTCCACGGCCACGTGGTGCTGCGCGTTCGATTCCAAGGCTTGCGACGCCAGGGCCGTTGACTCCGCGGCCCAAAACTTCTGGGCCTTAGATTCCAAGGCAGCAAAATGGCGGCCTCCAAGCCCCACTGCCCTAGATCCGAGGGTTTCAACTCCAGCGCCTTACACTCGTATGAATAAACCCCAGGGCCGTTGACCCCAGAGCCTTGGAGCATAACTAATGCCCTAGGGTCTCGCGCCCTGGAGTCCATGGACCGCGGGGCCTGGGGCCCCGGCAGCCCTGGAGTCTCGGCCCTCGGGGGTTCGGGGCCCGCTCGGGGCGGGTCGGGGCTGCCCGCGGCTCGGGGACATCAGCCCCGTCGTGCGCGGCGCGGCTGCCCCGCCGTTCCCGGGGGGGGGGCCCGCTCGGGGGCTCGCCTAGCTGCCGTTCGTTGGCCGGCGCCCCCCACTCGGCCCGCGTGTCCAGGGGGGGCCCCCCGCCCAGGAGACAAGCTGGGGGCCATCGGCATCGGATTCCCCCGGCGTGCCGTGGGGGCAAGTGTAGAGACGTGGGCGGGCAAGGGCATCACAGGCGCTGAAGTGCAGCAGGAGTTCCGGCATCCGCTAGGCGAAAGCAGAAATGTAGCAACCAGGAGCAAGCCCAACTGCAGCAACCCAAAACCAGGCTAAGTGCAGAAACCCCAAAACGATGCCAATTGTAGCGAACAGACTAGTGCCACGAGCCACTTCACCATTGTAGTACATGACTTTGAACGAAGCTGCGAAAAGAGGGCCCAAGTGTGGCATTTCAAAAAAATGTCAACTGTAGCATTTCAAAAACGAGGCCAGCTGTAGTACGGTTTGAACGATGTCAACTGTGTTTACCGGAAATGCGGCCGAGTACTGTAGTTCAAAAACGAAACCACGTGCAGCAACCGGAAACAAAGCTAAGTGTAGGAATTCAGAAACGAAATCAATTGTAGTAACCAAACACGAGGCCAAGACGAGGAAATTCAAAACGAGGCCAACTTGTAGCAACCAAAAACGAGGCCAAGTGTAGAAACGAACAACCACATCCACTACAGTAGTGGATATGTGATCTCTGGGCGCGCAGACTCGGGCCACGACGCAGGCTTGCCCGGGGCCATTCCGTCGCCCTCCTTTCCTCCCCCCCTCCTTCCCCTTGTTTCGGGGGCGGGAAAGAGGGGGGTGATGATTAGCGGGATGGGATTTTATGGCGGGGGCCATGATATCTGCGCAGATCCCATGGCTCCTCTTCTTATTTCATTACGTCCCTGGCCCCCCCGCTGGGCCGCGCACGTGCCGCCGGCCATGATTGGCACCCCCCCGTCTTGGACACCCCCCTCTTGGCCGCTCCCGATTGTTCCTCGTCGTCGTCGTCGGCTTCGTTGTAGTCGTCGTCGTTCGTCGTCGTCCCCTTCCTCCTCCTCCTCCTCCTCCTCCTCCTCTTCCTCTTCCTCTTCCTCTTCCTCTTCCTTCCTCCTCCTCATCCGTTGCCATTTTGGCTCAGGGTTGGGACAGGCCCAAGTTGAGTTGAGGCAGCCTCTCTTGTGATGCCTTCCTGGTTCACACCCAGGCGGACACCCCGTTGTCGAGCTCGCGCCCGAGCAGGCAGCCGATTCGTACTGTTCTCTCCTTTTTCCCAGACATGTGTCTCTCTGGTCACGACCTCGCGCAACTCGGGCAAATACCCGACTCGAGGTTTACCCCGATGGCGGCCAGACTCGTCGGTTGCATCAGTGAGATCCAAGCCCTCGGCCTAACGATCGACGAGTGCATCGCTGCGGTGTGCCTCGAGCAGGCCAGCACGCAAGAAACCATCAGCGCCCTGCAATCGCAGGCGCGGGACGCTTCCCCTCCTCGGTGGACCCCGTCCCAAGTGGTGAAGACACGGCAATTGGTGACGCCTGGTCACGTGCATCGTCGCCCCTCGTCACGGCTGCACCGGTCGAGGCCCGCCTGGTCACGTTGGAGAAGACCCTCACTGAAGTTGTCTCGGCCACGGTCTCGGTCGCCCCTCCGCGGGTTCCTCTCCATGGAGTACGTTTGATCGCTCATCTGGTGCTAAGCGTTCTCCAATCCGACCACATGTTCGAGTTCGGCAGTGCGCTGATCCTCCCAATCTGTCTCCGTCTTCCTCAGGCGCCCGGGTTGGAGATCTGTGCGAGATTTGAATCAAGGGCTTCCCCCGCGAGCTCCTTTCGAAGGTCTTCCTGCTCCACTTCGACCTGTTGAAGTCAGCAGCTTGGGCTCTGTTGGATGACGCGATTGCCCAGTGTCAAAGCTACAAGTACTGCTATACTATCAAGTTCCAGACCGAAGAGGAGGCTCGGGTTTTCTTCTCGCGGGGAAAAGAGTCGACCTCATTGTCATCCTTCTCGTGGTGGGACCCGAAGAATCTTGAGGACATTGCTCTCAGGTTTGGGTTCGGCCAGCCTCATGTTCGACGCGAGAGTTTTGCCCCCGGCAAATGTTGGGAGGAAATGAGAAAGTCGCTCGTTCAATATGGCATCTGGAAGGGTACGTTCATCCCTGGCTCCAATCCTCACACTTGGCATTTGCATGTCACGTGCTCGCGACGCGAAGTCCGTCCCCATCCCGGAAGTGGTGTTAAACGCGTTTCCCGAGCTCATCCAGGGCCGTCTCGCCAAGAAGATCGCCTTGCGGACCTCAATGTTTCACTGGCAAGTTTTATTTTTTTTGCATTTCTCCCTCGGCATGCTGGTCTGGGTGCCCAGCGCGGTCCTCGCCATCGGCGGCATTCCGCTTTTCTTCGTCCATATCGTCGGCCTCTGAGAGCAGTGCTGAGTCAGGTGTGAATCCAGGTGTCGGGGCGTCGCCAGGCATTCCGCGACCTGTATGCCTCTGCTTGTTTCCCTGTTTCCTTATTCCACCTCATCCATGCATGTTGCGTGTGCCGTCATTATTAGACTCTGCTTTTTCTTTATGAATGGTGGGCGCAGCAGCTCTCTTTGGCGCGCGTGGAGCGATCGCACCCGTCAGTGCAATAATCTCGTTGGCTTCGCAGGCTTACCGCGCAGCATCCAGAAAATATCTTGCAGGAGACTCACGGATCGTTGACTGGCCTCACCACTTTTGGTTGAGTTTCCTTAGTTCTATATTGTTGTTCTGTCCCTTCTCGCTGCGCCCTGTCGCCGCCCCTCTTTGGCTTGCCTTTCTCCGGGCCGCGCGTCGCGCGTGCGACAGCGCGGACATTCTGACGTGGGATAGGGTCTTTGCCGCCCCGACTGCAGCAGCGTGGCGGCGGTCAGGTGTGCCATTTCTCTTATTGTCCTGTCTTGCTTCCCTGCCCCCCTGTCGTTCGCCCCCTACTCTCGCCTCTCTTTTGTTCTTTATCCCTTTTTTGGTTAGGCCCCGATGGTTAACTTTTTGCTGCTAGTTCACCGCTTCGGCACTCGGCTCGCAATTCCATGGCGCCTGCGCAAGGTCGGCCCTGGAGCCTGGAGTGCGAAGTTCATCGGCTGCCCGAGCTTGAAGTCGTGTCAGACGTCGCCTATGCGGATGGGTCTGGCGACTCGCTCTTGGGCCGCGGGGTGAGAGGCGCGTCGGGGGCGGGTGCCCCCCCCCCCCCCCCTTATTCCCCTCCTTTCAAGTCACCCTTTCCCCCGGCGCCCCA